GGGATTGATGGAAAGGAGTATACTCTCGAATTGGATGATGGCCTAGGGACGCTTTCAGAGTTAAGATACGCCTAATAAACAAGTAATGATCGAATAAGATATAATATTTAAAAAAAATAAATATTAATATTTAAACCAACATTGAATGTTCGTTTAACCCAATCCTTAAGAGTATTCAGTTTTTCAACTTTTGGGACGGTCGGGTTATACCGATTTCGACGACTTGCATTACGAACGATAGGTGGCATTTTTGATAACTAGTAGGTGGAAATAAATTTTATTTTCTACAAAGGAAGTTCTGGAATTTTACAGATTGTCTTTTATAATTGAAATGATTAACTAAAGTGTCTTTTTTTGAAAACAAACGCGATTATATAGATCTTTTTAATTTCGTGTTACAAGCGGGGTCATGTCAGCATTGGCAATTGAATGACCCAAATCGAACCACAGTCAAGTCCTTATATGTAGATAAGTCAATGTATTATTACATTATATATAAATATACTGTTATTTCAGCTTAAATTTACAATTGGCCAAGTTTCTTTCAACTGTGCAGTACTAGTATAGTAAACTGTGCTTCGCACATTTTTTTCCGATAGGTTGACATGAAAATCATTATAGGAAATTTTTAGCCATTGTTAAATATAATAGATGACAAATGTGGTAAGTATAAAGCAGACATACAGACAAATTTCATTTCGCCGACAAAGGTGGCCCGATTTATTCTAAGGTTGGCCTGATTTATAGTTAATGTTGGCTAGAGTAAATCGTTAGCGAAATGGATTCTATAACCGGGGTTAAATCAAAACCCCTATACCAAACACTTATTAAAAAAATGAAACAAAAGTTTAGTGTCTAAACCGAGCTTTATAAATTTAAAATTTAAAGTTGACCCTAGAAGCAATTCGTTTAAAATAGGTATGTGATATGATTTTTTTTTTGATATAAATTTAGTCAGACCTTTCTAAGTGCACTCTCTCTAAGTGCACACCCTCTCTAAATGCATGCACAGATTCTGGCCCATGTGTATACTTGATCTCTATAAATGCACTTTTTCTGATTATTC